AGATTTTAAAACTGGCATGGCAGCCCCACACAGTTCTAGCCCTGTTATTTTATTTTTATGCTCAATGTTGTACCAGTAAAAGTATTTTTAAACTTACTATACATGGAAAGGTGAAGTTCTTTTCCAGTTAAAAAAAAAATGAGAGAACCTGGCTATCTACTTTAGAACTTTCGAACTTTCATATAACAAAAGATATGAGTAGGACTGCATACTCACTAGAGACTGTGGAAGAAAATTTTTTCCCCTTATTGAATTCCTGCTATAGCTAAGTGGCACTGTATGTTCTTCAGAGAGAAGGTTTGACACTGCAGCTTTGGGATTTCTCATGTACCAGCTTCTGAATGTTGGAAACACAGCTCCTGCCCCTCCCCTCGGTTATTTAACCAATATATTTATTGTTTTAATAAAGTGGAATATTCAATTTTATGAAAAGGAAACAATGAAGCTATTCTGTTATACATAACATATTTGTCTTATGGACTATGCTTTCCCTCTTCTTGTCTTCACTTGTGTGAAATCTCTTTAGATATTCTTCTTTTGTTCTGTCATAAAATACATTAAATGTAAACCTGATTTTTACTTTTTCTACTTTAGGCAACAACTGTGGAGTTAAAAGTGAGGGAGAGGAAATTCATTCTCAAACATGAAACATGAAACAAGTGGAATCCTGGTTTGCACAACTCCATGTTTTCAGTAATCTCAGAAAATACAGTAAAAGCTGTAAGTTGCATCTTAACTGCAAAGAATTCATGATTTGCAAGGGCTGATAATACAATATTTGCATAACATTTGCTGTGCTTGGGTTTTCTCCTTCTGAGGCTGAAGTAGCAAATATTAAGCGGGACAGCACTCCAAATCTTGGTTGCATCTGCAATTCTGTTTTGTTGAGGTGATGATCTGATACAATTAAATTGCTTTCATCATTACTAGCTGTTTCTTAGCCAAAGTTTTGTATCTACTCTAGATACAAAGCAGTAAACTGCTTATATGAACTAGTAACTTATCTGTTACTTCTTTATTTATGAGAACTCATTGCAAACCAGAACATTTCTGAAACACTCTCCAGGGATTATAGCATTCCTTGTCTTCAAATTCTGAGATTCATTAGAAGAGAATGGTCTGAATTTCATTCTTGTGTAGTAATTGACCAAAAGGCATATTCTTTTCCCAGCACCAAACTTGCAGTTTTCTTTCTAGCTTGACTGATATCTGAGTTCTTAGAGATCATTTCTCTTATCCCTTTTTCTGGACTGTCTTGGGCATCCCATTCTAAATGTTGGATTTGTGTATTAGAAATAACTTTAATAACTGTAATACTGTTTTTTTAATGGCAAGCAAAATTTTCTATCTTTATATCACTTGTAACCTAGAACTTACACTTCATTTTATAAAATAAAAGTAATTTTATTTTTTAAAAATAGGCATTTTTAGCCAAATTTAGATTTTAGTTTTCTGCTCAAACCCACTTACATATTGACAAGAGCATAAAATGCATCAAGCATTCAGGTGGAAGTATGCCACTGGCATCAGCATGGAGTAGCAAAAGGTAAATTGGTGTCATGGATGCCAGTATGCAAATAAAAGAGGATGTCTAAGGAGTGAGGCTGGATGCATTGAACAGGGCTCTGGGAATTAGATTCATTACTGTCTGGAATCACAGAAGAAAATGTTTCCATGAAAGTTGTCACTACAGAACTTAAGAGAACAATTTGCTTATTTCCCTGGGCAATATACTTAGTTCTGTGAGAGGGATAACAGGTTAGATTATTAAATATTTAAATAAGGTAGTACTCAGAATTATGCCTTCTGGGTTTTTGTTTGTTTGTTTCAGAAAATCAGTAATTATTTACCTTGGCTCTACAGTTGTTTCTCAACAAAAGGGTCTGCTTGTCACAAACATCTATATTCCTATCTTCAAGTAAGCCATGAGGCTTACTATATAGTTTATTCCATGAAAGGCAATAGCACGGTACTCAAATGTTATTTTGAATAAAAAGCCACTTTGAGTGTTACGTTTGTTTTCCTGCATAGCTCAGCAATAAATGCATTTGTCTGCTCATTTGTTGCTTTGAAATCTTATATAGAAGTATCAGAATGTGGATGGAGTCCTGGGAATTTATCTGCTCCTCTAGAAGTAATGATAACTTCTATGGTGCTATTCCTGCTGTCATATCAGCAGTTGTGATTGTGCTGTTTAGCTATTCAAATTCATGTTCATGACTTCTCTTCCCTGTCCAAGTACATAGTAGTGTCTTTTTCAGTGTTTTCTGAAACCGTGATGTTTCAGTTTTCACTCAATAGGATCTTGCAAGAGATGCTCCATCTGTGTTTTGAGGAGCTACTTCATTTTGCCAGGAAGTTGTCTCAATGAAATTGTAGCAAGGAAACACTGAGTGGCAGATGAGTGGTTTTAGTGTTTAAGACAGGAACGATGTTAACCGAAAAAAACATGGAAGCAGCCATGTGAAGATATAAATCCACTTCTTCTGGAGAAGAGGAAAGATCATCGAGTAGTAAGGTTTGTAATTATTTGAATGGTGTTATTGATATAATTCTCTTTGCCCCAGTGATAAAGTTGCTGTACTGCAATCCAGTAGATATCAAATTTGCACTGTTATTTGGATAATTTTTTTTCAGTATTTGTGCTATGTCCTAAATTATCTGAACAGTTGGAAAGACTGTTCCGTAGGAGAGGAATGTTGAACTAAATTGAAGTAGGTCAAAATCCAAGGACACCAAAGAGACAAATAAAATGGACAAGAATAAGAGAAACATTTAATTTTGAGAAGACCTTGAAGGTCATCAAGGTCATTAATCCAGCATTTCCAAGTCTGCCATTAAAGGTGGAGTGTAAAGGGAGGGAGGAATAATGGTCTTAGGTTTTTTTTATCTGTCATTGTCAGTGTATAATAGGATAATGGTAGTATAAATACGATTAACATGCAAGGAGTAGACTAAAACCACAAAAATTGCTATGTCAGTGGAGGATAACTCAAACCAGAGATCTAGTCAAATGCTGTCCTGATCTGTTCTGGGATTTTTCCCACATCTATCTCTAAATTCAGTTCTACCATTATGACCATGTAAATCTACAAGGTAATAATAGTTATGTGGTGAGCCATTAGGGGGCCATATGTATTGAACTTATTTATAGCCTGCAGGTTTGTTTGGGTTTTTTTTAACATCTTGAAATATCTTAGCTTTCTGTATCTGTATAGCCTGTGTAAGTATATAATCTTAACTTCATTTCCTTTGTTCAACTTTTAGTGATTACATGCGCAGGTTGCAGATTGTCATAATTGGATTATGCACCTTTTGGAGAGGCTTTGTGGTATGCAACTCCTGGCCTCTGTGTAACGTGTATTTAAATAAATATTTATTATTTAAATACTGTTTACTTTATGTGAAGAGAAACTTTATAAAAATTAAATTCTTTAATGTATTGGACTGGTTTTTTCTGTAATCCATTAATTTAATAAATCTATATATTAGTCAGTTTCTGTTGCTGTCACTTCTCTACAGTTTTAACATTCGGTCTCAGTTAGTACTCAGGGTGAACAGTCCAATGTGTAAAATACCAAAGATCAAGGCTCAGCTTACTGCTGTCACACAGATGTTGTGCTGGGCTGACAAGCCCAAAATACAGAGGCAAAAAGCCTGGAAGCACAGCTGTGGATAAGACATACTTGTAAGTTCTTTATACAGCACTGCATTAATCTAGTCACTTTGTTCCTGATTCTTCAGCTGCTTGGTTTAGAGGTAACTTTATACCATGCTGCATATACATACTGTCTGTTTAATGCTCCAACCATCTAGTTGTTTTGTGCTTCAGTGTTCCCTTTTGAAAGTGAGAGTAGGACTTCCTTATTTTAAAGTAGTGTTTCTGAAGTGTGACAGTTGGAAGGAGAAGGATCATTTATGTATGGAGAGAATATGTGCTTTTAATGTAATTATGATATGATACAGGTGTTAAATTCACATACAAGAAATCTGACAGAAGAGTGAGACTTTAGACATTGTGAAATCTCTGAACTATCTATGCTGTGCCATAGTAGGTAAGTTCATGGAAGGAAAAAATGTTAATTATTCATAATGCTTTGCTGTACCATAAAACTCGATTTATTGAGACTATAATTTGTTCAAGTTGCATGTAGTAGAAAAATATATCAGGAGTAATTAGTAGTATTCAGGATGTGATGAGGTAGATATATCCACAGAGGACAATTGAAAACAGTAGCGGTGTGGTATTGATTGCCTTTCAGAGGAAAAAAAATCTTGTCTCTTTTCTAAATGTTAACAATTCAGAGAGAAAAATTCCCACTTGGGAAGAATGCTTTCCAGGTTGCTTCATTGCCAGGTGTTCGACATTGAGTGGAGCCTTAGATGAATGAAGCTTATGGCAGCTTTTGGAAATGACCGACTCCAGGGAATCTTGGCTTCCTGCTGTGAAAGTTTCCATTTTCAAAGCACATCAATTTCAGTGGGAATGTTCCACTGGTCCCATATGCTACTTCTGATAGAGGGGGAAGTTTTTAACCTGAATATGAGACAGCTACTGAAGAAGTTCCCTTGCTGCTAACAAAATGAATTTCAATATGTTGCCAGTGAACAAGCGGCGTGTTCCCAACTGCTGATGGAATTTAACTCCATCAATTTTTAATGGAAATTTTGCTTTAATTTCCATTTTTTCCCTGTCACCTTTTAGCTCCACTGCTTTCTCCTGGTAGGACTTTTGGGTTCTGAAGTTGAATCACCCAAACAATATGCTAGTTTGATTTGAAACTCTTGCTATATTTTCCTCCCCTCCCTCATACACTCTCTCCTTGACCTAGCAGCAGGAAGCCTTTGTCTGAGGTGTTCATCTGGAACAACTTTTCCACACTTGTTTTCATGTTCTGTTAGATTACAGGGCAGCAGGCCTACCTTTGAAGCTCCCTTCTCTTTTGTTTCTTTGCAGTGCACTCCAGTAATTAACTTTGTCCTTCTTTTATTTGTTCCAGTCAATCGCAGTCCACTCTGCTGAGCATCTTCTCCCAGGAGTACCAGGTTAGAAGTTTTCTCCTTTGTGAGGGTTGACAGGTGCCTAATTGAATGATGAATGTCCCTTTATTTCTTTGTAATTGAACTGCCAGCTTTCTGATTGGTTTGGAGGATGTTCCTTTTTCCACATCAAGCACCGCCTGAGTCTCAGTGGATGGCTGCCAAGCCTACCCATCCATCTGTCTAATAACATCTAGCCTTTGCTTATTTGGTGGACCTGTAATAAATTATGCTAAACCATTATTATTCTGACAATAATAATTTCCCTGTGTTGCGTGGTTCCATGTGCTAAATGTTTGCTGACTTGCACTGTCAGTGCTGCTTTCCATTGCTGACAGAGATGATGATAAATGACCATTGCCGGAGTGGCAGAAGGCAAGAGAGGCAGAAAATGGAGTCATTTATCATGAGATGACAGGTGTCAGTCAAGTGGCAAGTCTCTATGGAATTACTTTTTGTAGTTTTTCAAATAAGTTGTTTTTAAGCAATGTTCTTCCTGGTTAAAAATGCCAATTGAATTGTAAAACCAGAGTGCACCAGACTTAGATGGAATTGAATTGAGGGAAAATTAATACAAAGGTTGAAAGAGAGAACAAGTTTTTCTTTGCCCTCAGCAGCCTTCGGTAAACTTATTTAGATTCAATTATTGTGACCTTACTGGCTTTTACATATGGTACATTGCAGTACACTCTGAAGACGTTCAATTCAATAGGTAGATTGAATGTCATTTCTGTATGGAATCTAAAAGCATGGTTCACATCTATCAAAGTGTAGCCAAGGATCACGTGTTTGTGTAGTCATGATTCCTGTGTTTTGATCTATGACACCTTTGTAAAAGTCGTTTTTTCATTTTTCCAGAAACAAATTAAAAGAACACATGCCAAGCATCACACTGCTGAAGCTATCGAAACTTACTACCAAAGGTATGACCTCCCCACCCCAGTTAAGGCTCATCATAGATACTGATTTTTACAGCAGTTGTGAGTAAATTAGCTAATTAAGCTAATTTTATATAACAATAAATTAAGAATTTGGGAATACGGAATGGTTCACCTAAAAATGTTTTTCACTGGAAATACAGAAATTGTTCAGGATTTGGTCATTCTGATTAAGAAAGAGTTTGCTTCCCTGGCTCTAAGTTAGGATAAGCAAATATTTTTTCCAATGTATATAATGGCATTTATTATGTATTGCCTATAGTTTGTAATTTTTAGGATTTCTGTGTCAAGATTGATTTTGATGACTTCCTTACAGCAAGAGAGCTTGTTCTGCTACAGTTGCTTGTTTAAAACAACATTTGTGTTACATTACAAAAAGTTACATATTCATGTATTGCCAGTTAAAGCACTAATTTTTAGATCACTCCTGTTTTATCAACAGAAGTGTCAGAAATAGTTTTTAAGGGAGGATGAAAACCTTTATGTCATTTTACAATTGTTTGCATCTTAAGCTAATAAACTGTGCTTGCTACACCTTGTAGTTTTTCTGTTAGTTCCATAGGCTTTACTAAAAATATTCCAGTGACATAATTGGGGCATAGTGATAACAGGTAAAGATACGCAATTAAAATACTACTTTGTAGACTGACATATCTGAAGAGCATGCATGGCAAGTGAATTCCTACTTGTGATGTATGACATTCATGCTTAATACTAATCTGTATGAATCAAGAAAATAAACAAAGAGCCTTCATTTGTAAACAATTAAATGTGCTTCTGCCAGAGTCATGTATTTAAAACTTAACCACAGCCTGATTATATTATACACTGGTTGAGAATATCTAGTGTGAAGTGTACTAGTTTGGGTGTTTGATTTTGGTTTTTTAGTAGTTGTATTGTTTTGTAAAATTTGTACTGGATCACATTGCACTTTTCCTAGGGTTGATTGTTGTTTAGGAAGAATATTGGCTTAAAATTTTGTTGTGCTAATAACATGCATATACAGTACTACTTTTAATTATTTTTCACTAGAAGTTTCAGTGAAGTGGCCTGTGGTAGTTGTAACTGCTGCATAAGTAACCCTTTCCTTAGATTATGTGTAAATCACTAGTTCCAGCCTGAAACTTCAGCCTGAAACACGGGACAAGATTTTGCTTTATGCAAAGCAGCAGTTGTATTGGTGTCAGTAGGGTTGTAGGAATGATTAAGTTTGTCTCACATCAGGTAGGAGGATTTGGTCTCCTGTCTTCTTCTGTAGTCTGAAGTATGATAGCAGTACATAACTAATGCATTATGTATGAAGCTGTGTGGTAGTGGTAGGGAAAATCATTCTTTATGCTGTTTCTGAGTATGTCATTTTGCAAGTGTATTAACATGGCTGAGTAAAATGCACATGTTTTAAAATCAGAGATGTTCTGGTCAATAGCTAAAAAACTGATTTCAGTCCTGTTTTAATAGATTTACTGTGTAGTATGTTTAGGAATCTACAGAAGCAGACAACTTGAGATAGAAGCCACTTTGAAATACTTCAGGTGTAAATATGACAAACAAGTCTTCTCCTCTGCTCTTCTGTAGCATCCACTTTACTGCTGTAAACCCCAGACTGGGTGCTATGCTCCTTGGTATTTCTGCTGACATACAAGCAGATAATTGTGCTGTCATTGCTTTCTTAGGTCAGAAGCTACCAGGTTTTGAAGGTAGAGATTTCCCGTGGTCCCTGTTAGGAGCAAGTAAAATAGTTGAATAGAATAGTTTCTTCTACTTGGCTGAGACTTACTAGTGTGAAACTTAGGCAAGCACAAAGTACAAGAAGGATCAGCAGGTTTTCAGAACTGTATTGCCATCAGCATGTGAGTCCTGTTAGTCTATAATGGAGTTGCCAGAAGCATTGGAAATATATGACAGAAATTTACTTCATTCTCACTGTGGCTGTTCGATCATCTAGATGCATGTTTGAGAACTTTAATCTCAAGTACATTTTCCTGGTTGTGTATTTTGTGTATGATATTCCATTTTCTTCTGTTACAAATTTACAATGTTTAAACATGTTTTGTGGGTTTTTTTAATATGGAACTGAAATAATTTACACCAAAAAGCTTTTTAAATTTCCTTAATTCGTTAAGCTTCAGAATAACTTGCAAGCAAAAAGCCCTCTATCAAATCTTATGTGAAGGGGTTTTATAAAGGTGTACCACCCATTCCACAGAAAGGTAAAATGATAAAGAATTTTAATGTCTGTAACTAATGAGCAGAAGAGTGTCTTTCGATGGATAGATAATGATAGAGCTGGAAAGGCTGTGGCCTTCTAATGATGTCAGTAATGATGTGCTATGTGAATACAGATAGGATAAGTGAGCAAGTTCGAATGTTGGTAACTATTGTTCTTTTCCACATGGCTGCAAAGCACAAAGTGGCTTTCAATATCATAGCTCCTTCCCATCAGCTTCGGAACACAGGTTTCAGGTTTTATTGAAATGTAAATATCAAGCAGTGAAAGTAACAGAAGTGAGGAGAGCAACATTGTGTGAATTGATGGTCAGAAACATCATTCTGTAATACCCTCAACTAGAAACATTAAGCCTTTGCCACTGATAGGATAATGACATTCTATCAACCTTCATTGAATCCTAAATATTTCTTGTTTTCTTTGTAGAATATAAATTGTTAGACTGATTTTACTAAAGTAAGCCTTTAGTACTTAAATTACTGCCCAGTTGATGAAATCTGGAATAAATTTGAGAGTTTATGTTTTTGTATGTACTAGTGAATTGGGTAAGATATACACTGCACCTTCATAGTTGAAGGTCATATGGAACCAAAAATCTTTACTGTGAATAATAGAAGTTTATTTGTCTCTGATGCATCTTTAAGTAGTACAGATATAATTTATTTGTGTATTTATTAAGTCACAATTTTTTAAATTTCTTGATATATTCAGTTTTTTACCAGTGTCTTCATTGAGATGGATATATTTTGCAGATGAATAGAATAGGAGACAACCCTGGAGAGTTAGTGATTGCTTAAAATACTTCTTAAAAGATTATCTGTAATGCCAGTTAAAGCACTAATTTTTGGCATTATCTGTAATGGGGTATTTTCCCCCAAATGAAAAAGATTCACAAGGGATGCTGACATGTATGAAGTGGCCTTTTCTTGCCACTGCAAAATTACCTGGCTTTGTCTTGTCTAGGTATCTGAATGGGGTGATGAAAAATGCAGCTGCCCCAGTATTACTGGACCTGGCCAATGAGGTAATCATCTTTCTTTTTTCTTTAATCTTCCAGTGTAAAACTTGAGGGGCATATCTATAGTGACTTTAGTGAGAAATGTAATTAACCTAAAAAAATGGTTTCAAGGCACATTAGACATTTAAAATGGTTCCCCAGTCTGTTAGTACTTAAAATAATTAGACAAAAAGCCACATTTATTAATAAATCAGTTCATATAATTAGTCTTTTAACTTCAAGGCAAATGTGTAGGATACCCTGAATTTGTATTTTGCTGAAAATTCCAACAAACTGTTTATTGCATAAACTTGCTAAAAATTCTCAAATTGATTAAATGGAGTTGTATCATTTTGATTCCTTGCCTTTAATAACAAAACCTATCTAAGTTATTACTATTTCTTAGTAATAGGAAGGCTTAAAACAGATAATTTTCCTGACTCCATTTATTTCTGTTCATATGGATTAGAGGATGGCTAATGAAAACTGCTTAAGATAAAGCACTTAAGCAGAATAAATTTTTCAGTACATGAAAAGTTCTGTACGGTT